AATCAAGGATAAATCATGAGATTACTTGGCGATTAAGGCAATCAACTAAATAATTAATTCTAATGGATTATGATTTGATCCTCATGATGGCGTGACTTAATGGGTTGTAATCTCTCCACTTAGGGCAAAATTCATATAAAAGGGAATGGATAGCTCACGACAACACACAACTTTTCAACAACAAACTCAGTACAAACCTTAATTCCCTCTCAAAGGCTATATCTTTCTTGATAATTGCTCTGCCGGATCTGTCTCTAGTATCGATGTCCAATTGATCTTCATCAATTGAAGGTGATGTTCTTGTTTGCAGTGCGGATTCATATATACTATTGATATTGCCACTAGACCCTTAACCTCTGAATTCAATCAGAAGTGATCCAAGGTGGTGGCAATTCATTATCTGATAAGATCCCTTGATCTGGATCCCTTTGTTTACTTGTTTATTTGTCGTTTATTACCTTTATTGTTTTAGAGAAATTATCAAGTCTATTAGGATTTTACACCACTAATAGTGGCACGTTTGCAATTCACACAATCTAAAGCTTCTCTCTAAGGTTTGAACATTTTTAGGGTAACCGCGCATATGCTTGTCCATTTTCTGCTAAATATAAGTCTCTCAAATTCCAAATAATCAAATCCCAAAATCATTGTTGTATGTAGTATGTTGGTAGTTTTTTTTTTTTTTTTTTAAAAAAAAAAAAACCAAACCCATTATCCATAGCAGTCAATTTTCACTGATGCATTATTGAATATACATTGTTTTATTGTTGTCTCTGAAGGAAGTTGAGGTTCCACCCCAAAACAAATTGGTAATGGGGAGAGTATCCCAACTCTATAAGCCTTTGCTAGGTTTCTCAACTTTCCAAATGTGGGTCTTTATCTTCACATTCTCACACGCCCCTGTATGTATGACGAATTTTCAAGCCTAACACGTGGACAACATATTGGGTGACGTATAGCACATGTGGCCATTGGACTTTCACACGTGGGCTTAACCCACTATGATACCATGTAGAAAACAACTTTCCTTTCATAGCACACACAAAAGTCAACTTCAAAATCTCAATTAGCCTTTCCTGCTATAAATCGGATTTCCTGCTATAAATTGGATTGTATTCATGTCTATATTATTTTCTACCTTAAGTAGATATTCTGTATCAGTATAAATAAGAACTTTGTGTAATTAGTTCAATACGAAGAAATATATTTTGTACAGTCCCAGCTGTGCTCAAATTACTCAGAATCGCTGATGGTGGTGATACAAGGTTCAAAACTTTGTGCCAAATAACTGAGGAAAAGGCTCTTTGGTTGTATTCGTATGACACTTTTAATTTGGCCGGAATTACTTTACCTATTTATGGACTACCTGCACAAAAAGTCTGATTTTTTATGCAGTTAAAAACAGTTAGAAAATTTAGAGCAAATAGTAATCGATGAATCTAATGATTCAGGGGTTGTTCTATGCTCATAGAAGTAGAAGACCTCCATGGGATTTGGAGGTCTCACGTTGCTATTATTTTAACCCAAGCAAAAAATCCTATTAATATGCCACATTAGGTCAGGAGAAGATCCCATGCTCTGCTCAAACCACATATCCTGACACCACGGAAAGTTGTAAACTTTGTTTTGGACTTGGGAGTTTTTCAATTTTCACAGATTATATGTATATAGTCTGCTGTTATTAAGGGACACTCATTAGGGCACCAGCGAAATTTTTTTCAACGAACGAAATGATCGATTTTTCACATCTTCATTCAGAGATCATCCTTGCAAAAAAAATCATGCAAATTGAAAATCATTAAGACATCTAATTAAAACCAACAAAATGAAGACGATGCTTCAAGAAATTACTTAAATTTCAATAATTTAATTGAGTAGTCAAATGATATCGGATTCAAGTGATTTTTTTTATAGAGATGATATATATTTGTACTTCTAACCAATATAATAGGCGCCCATCATTTTGGTTCTGTTTGAAGCACATACATAAATAAACACATCTTCAACCTGTGGTGTTGATAGTTTACAGCTTCAGACTCATGAAATTTGTGGTTACTCCACTTGTCTTGTTAACCAACTATACTCTTTAGTATTTACGCCAACAAAGAAACAAACTCAATAAATTTAAGTAGACAAATAACCAGCAAAGCAAAAATTAAGGGGCCTCTTTTTATCTACCTCACAGTCACAATCACAATATTTACCATATTTTTGGATTGTTTGGTGGTAGGAAATGAACCTACATTCACTTCTTCTAGTTTGCAGTTGACTGGTTTTTGCATGAGTGAAATACAGAAACTATTGATGGGCAAGGCTATAAAATTTGAAAGAAAAAAAAAACTAAAAGTTCATTTCTCATTCCTCAAAACAACCAGAAAGAAACAAAATTATAATGAATGCTGTGGAGAATATTTATATTAGTTTTTAGTTATAAGCCTCAGCAATTGATATAAAAGGCAACCTACCTCAACTCATTCTTAGAGTTAGAGTTGCTCGGAGGCAATGGAAGCTTTAAAATGTCTTGGTTTTTCACAGTACTCTTTTTTATCAGTACTCTCTCACTAAGTACTCCCGCAAAAGCTAGCCATGAGAAGAAGCACCCACCTGCAGTTGTTTTTTATGACAAGCATCGTTGATTGTTCTTTCTTTCTTCTTCTTTTTTTTCTTTGTTTTTGTTTTTTTTTGTTTTTGTCTTTGCATACAGATGATGGTTGTGATTATTTTGCATTATTTCTTCGACTCTGCAACTGGCCAATATAGTTTGCGCTGTATCACATTGTTTTGTTCTGCAAATGGTACCACTTCCGTCCAATATACAAACTTGCAGCTGGGTTTATTTAATCTATGGTTTTGTTCTACAAATATTATGCGGTTTTAGAAACAAATCGTGGACAGATAGCTCAACAAGTACTTTCTTTCTCCATATGAAGCATGCAGACTGGAATACATACAAACTCAGCTGGAAGAACAAACAGAATATCACATGCTGATGATTACATTATTGTACGGATGAAAATTGCTGCTATACATTATACATTCAATGTGATAAAAGAACTTCCCTGCATGAATGAGGTGTCTAATGTGTTATTTAATACAAAAGAAAAAATTACTGATGTTTACAAATATACTTTTACAATGGGAAGTGTACCCACAACAAAGCTATGCACCCATCACAAATATATATCATCTTTGTATTTATGTAAGTCAAACATGAGACCTTACATTCAGTGGATACACCTGACACTAAAATGTTCAGTTGATTGGCTACAATCTTACCCTTTGAGATGGCAAGCCTTGTTTCAATTCAATAATAATAGACCAGCCATCAAGGATCGAATCAAGAATCTCATCTTATGTTTCAAGCTTGACGTATCCATTTGCGAATTGGTATCCATCGGCTGAAAAACTCCACATTCAACAAGCAGACACGAAGGCCCTCAGCCCACAGGCTTAAGGTCGCCCGTGAAGTGAAGACGTGACATTGTGTTTTGGAACCCGTGAAGGACAAAGAGATGTTTTGTACATCATAGAATTAGACAAAACCATCCCCTTTTCTTTTTAACTTTTAACATGCATTATCTCTTGCACTGTGTAAAAGAAAATTTGGTATTACATTTCAATTTCCTCACAAGATAACAGTGAAACAGTGGCTTGAGGTTGTCATGGAGTTAACCTTGGATTGTCAGGAACCGCCTTATTAGATTGTCAAATTTGTCAAAAATTGTGGCCCACGGACAAAGAATGAAGCGGTGCAAGTTTGTGGGATGATTAGCTGCTCAATGCAAAACTGTGGGGAAGGTGAAGACAATCTGTCAATTTCCAATGCAGGATCTAATTATCATAATTCTGGAGTTTGTGCCTTTGTGGTGTGACTGGTGTCTCTTTTGTCAGTAGTAGAAGTTCTTGTTTTTCTTTTTCACCCAAAATGCTAAAAAATGTGGAAAATTGAATTAAAAAAAGAAAAAAAAACAGACTGTTGGGATGGAAGGATATTGATGCCAAAGGAATCTGTATGCAACATCAACACATGGGAGAGTGTCTTATAAGCCTACAGAGTACAGAGATTTCTGAGTTGGCTTGAAACTGCTCAAATACTTGGAAGTTGTAGCTTCTTTGTTTTAAGTTTGGATCATTGCATGCCATATGCATTGTCCATTTTCTGCTAAAATAAGTCTCACAAATTCCAAATAATCACTCCCAAAATCATTGTACTATGTAGATTGGTAATTTTTGAACCAAACCAATTATTGAATATACATCTGTGCTCAAATGACTTATAACTGCTGATGATGTGACAAGTTTTCTAAACTTTGTCTCTTTTTTTTTGGTCAGAAAACTTTGTGTCAAATGACTGAGGAAAAGATTCTTTGGTCGCAATCACTTGACTGCTTACTTTACCTATTTATGGACCACCTGCACTGAAAGACTTGTTAAAAACAGTTAGAAAATTTAAAGCAAATTGTAATCAATGAATCTAATGATTACCATAACATTCTGAACCAAAAAGCCTTATTAATAAGATTCTGATCCATACATTGAGTTGTAAACTTTGTTTGGGACTTGGGGAGTTTTTCAATTTGCACAGATGCATATGTACCGAGAGCAGCTCATAGTAGGCATAAATAAACGCAACAACATCTTCAACCTGTGGCGTTGACAGTGTACAGCTTCAGACTCATGAAATTTGTGGTTACTCCACTTGTCTCGTGAACCAACGGGGACCCAACTATTCTCTTTAGTATTATTACACCAAACAAAGAAACAAACTCAATAAATGTAAGTAAACAAAGCAAAAGTTAGGGGCCTCTTTTTATCTACCTCAAAATCACAATATTAACCTTCTTTTTTGGATTGTTTGGTGGTAGGAAATGAACCCACATTCACTTCTTCTAGTTTGCAGTTGACTGGTTTTTGCATGAGTGAAATAAATTAGCTTGATGGCCCAGCAGGATATAAAATTTGAAGAAAAAAGTTCATTTTTCATGCCTCAAAACAACCAGAAAGAAACAAAAAAGTGTATAATGAATGATGTAGAGAATATTTATATTAGCTATAAGCCTCAGGAATTTATATAAAAGGCAACCTACATCTACTCATTCATAGACTTAGAGTTGCTCAGAGGCAATAGAGGCTCTAAAATGTCTTGGTTTTTTACAGTACTCTTTTTTATCAGTACTCTCTCATTAGTTACTCCCTCAGAAGCTAGCCATGAGAAGAAGCACCCATCTGCAGTTGTTGTAGGCACTGTCTACTGTGACACATGTTTCCAAGCAGAATTCTCACATGCCAGCCACTTCATTTCAGGTTCATTTCAAATTTTCCAACAACAACTCAATCAAAACGTGCTTTTTATACTGTGAATTTTGGGTTCAGTTAACTTATTTTTCAACTTATTTTTTCTGCAGGGGCCTCTGTTGGTGTAGAATGCAAAGATGGGAGTTCAAAACCAAGTTTCCAGACAGAAGTGAAAACTGATAGCCATGGAGTGTTCAGAGTCCAGTTGCCTTTCTCTGTGAGCAAGCATGTCAAGAAAATTGAAGGGTGTTCTGTGAAATTAATCAGCAGCAGTGAACCATATTGTGCTGTGGCCTCAACAGCCACTTCATCTTCACTGCATCTCAAGTCAAGAAAGCAAGGAACCCACATTTTCTCAGCTGGGTTCTTCACCTTTAAGCCTCTAAAGCAGCCAAGCCTATGTAACCAAAAACCAAGCATTCAAAACTCCAAGGAATTCAGTTCTCAGAAAATCTCTTTTCCTCCAACTGATGAGCTCACATTTCCACCACCAACTCAAAACCCCACAATACCTGATCTTCCTCCTCTTCCTACGCTCCCTTATCTTCCACCATTGCCACAACTTCCTCCTCTCCCTCCCCTTCCAGGACTTCCTGGAATTCCAATTCCAGGAATTCCAGGAATTCCAGGAATTCCAGTTTTACCCCCCATTCCTGGTAAAACTACAGAGGCAGGGCAACTAACTGATAAAAACCCCACAATACCTGATCTTTCTCCTCTTCCTACAATCCCTTATCTTCCACCATTGCCACAACTTCCTCCTCTCCCTCCCCTTCCAGGACTTCCAGGAATTCCAGTTTTACCCCCCATTCCTGGTAAAACTACAGAGGCAGGGCAACTAACTGATAAAAAAGTAGCCCACCCAGATGCTTTCTTCCCACCAAACCCATTTCAGCCACCATCAATTTTGCCTCCAAATCCACTTGTGCCACAGCCAACTCCACTTATCCCCAATCCATTTCAGCCTCCACCAGCACCATTAATTCCCAATTTGCCCCCAATACCAGGTTTTACTCCACCAGCAGGCACAGCACCATTGATTCCCAACTTGCCACCTATACCTGGTTTTACTCCATCACCATCACCACCACCACCATCTCTCCCATTCCTCCCTCCATTACCATTCCCACTCCCACCTATACCTCGCATCCCTGGAATCCCACCTGCTTATTCTTCTTCTTCAAAGCAAACTACTTCTCCTTGATGTTAAACAGAAGTGATTAACTATATAAATCATGTTTAATTAACTCTCAAATAATGTCTTTCACATGTTGGTTAAGTTTTTATGTATAAATTCTTGTATGGGTTGTGCAATTATCAGAAGCATATGTAGTAGGGCTTGTAAGTTTATACTTTGTAAGGAGCATGTAGTGTACACAGAATTATTGTACTTGGAATAAAGCTATGGTTCTCATCATCCGACAAACTTCATTTGCTTTGTAAAAAATCCCAATGTATTATGAGATTTTGTGCTACTGTTTGCATTAATTATGAATTATACAGCTACAATGCACATGAAATTAAACAACTTTTGAGACCCAAAAAGAAAAATAAGAAGAATAAATTATAAACAGCTTTGAAGCTCTTATTATTTAATGAATCCTAATCATGCTATACATGCCCTCATAGATGCATAACTAAGCATCACCTAACCAGGTTCTCTTTGATTTTCTCATTTCTGGCTCTGCATTTCCCCTGCTGCTAGAGCCACCTCCACCATTGCTCGCACTTTCGAGCTGCTGTTGAGAAGCGCTAGGGTTCCAAAAGTCCCTGAAGTAAAACGGGGCTTTCCTCTTAGAACTTTTGGCAGAAGCTGCTGGTTGGACGCCCAAGCTGTTGAGCCTGTACTTCTGCAAAACACACACAGTTGAGACTTGTCCATCAGCACCACTAAATCATCAACATCAAATCAAATTCTAGCAAATACTCATAAAATTAGTGTTTAAATAATTAATATGAGAGCTCAAATTAAAATTATTAAATTGCATGTGAAATAAATGAGTGGTTTCAACTTTAATTCATAAAGAGCAGCAGGGAAAGAACTTTGTTTGGGGATTGGGCCTAAATGACCCTGTTGGTTTGTTTTGCACTCACACTGTTTCATGAGGCCCGTTAAGTTTTGTTGGTCCCTTTTGTAATATTCTAAAGGTATTTGGTGCGGCACCATAATTTCAAGTTTCTTGAGCGCATATATTTTTAGCAAATATATTACGTACGCTCACTAAGCTTAGCATCAATTCAGAATTGCTATACCCATAGCACTTGGAACAAATATCATCCCTATGAAGCTATACCAACATTTTAGATAGGGTAGATGATCAGAATGGGGCATGTATAGATACTATGACAATACCCTCATGCGCGCATGTATACGCATGGCTAAATTTATCATAAGATCATTGGCCCATTAAGTAATTTAATCACCAGAATCTTTCATGAGCCTGAGAAAATGCACATAAATTGCACATGTGAGGATGTTGAATCAATATATCATTGTCACTGAACTAATATGATGCCTAAAATCTCTCATGCGTATGTGCGCATGAGAAAAATCCCATGTATATAATTTGAGCATTGGAAGATATACTGTTAAGTTATCACTGCCAGTAAAATGATCCATGAGAAAAACACCATGTATGTAACTTGAGTAATGAAAGATTGACTAATAAGATTTGTTATTACTAAAATGATCAAATGACTAGATTTTCTCATGCGCTTGAGAAAAATCCCCTGTATATGTTGAGCGCAAATCCCTGTATCTAATTTCAGCATTGGAAATTACCAATGAGAAAAATAACATGTATGTAACTTGAGCTGAAAGATCTACTATTAAGATATCATTGCTACTAAAGTGATCCAATGACTAGATTTTCTCATGTGCTTGATAAAGACCCCTGTACATGTTCAGTATAAATCCCCTGTATACAATTTAGCATTGGAAGACATACTATTAAGTTATTACTACTACTAAAATGACCCATGAGAAAAAATATACCCTGTATGTAACTTGAGCATTGGAAGATCTACTATTAAGATATCATTGCTACTAAAGTGATCCAATGAATAGATTTTCTCATGCACTTGAGAAAGATCCCCTGTATATGTTGAGTATAAATCCCCTGTATATAATTTGAGCATTGGAAGACATACTATTAAGTTATTACTGCTACTAAAATGACCCTTGAGAAAAATACCATGTATGTAACTTGAGCATTGGAAGATCTACTATTAAGATATCATTGCTACTAAAATGATCCAATGAATAGATTTTCTCATGAGCTTGAGAAAGATCCCCTGTATATGTTGACCATAACTCCCTGTATATAATTTGAGCATTGGAATACATACTAATTATCACTGCTACTAAAATGACCCATGAGAAAAAAATATACCTTGTATATAACTTGAGTATTGGAAGATCTACTATTAAGATATCATTGCTACTAAAATGATATCCAATGAATAGATTGTCTCATGCGCTTGAGAAAGATCCCCTGTACATGTTGAGCATAAATCTCATGTATATAATTTGAGCATTGGAAAACATACTATTAAGTTATCACTGCTACTAAAATGACTCGTGAGAAAAATACCCTGTATGTAACTTAAGCATTGGAAGATCTACTACTAAGATATTGCTACTAAAATTATCCGATGAATAGATTTTCTCATGCGCTTGAGAAAGATCTCCCATGTATATGTTGGGCATAAATATCTTGTATAGAATTTGAGCATTGGAAAATCTACTATTAAGTTATCACTGCTACTAAAATGATCAATGAGAAAAATATAACTTCAACATTAGAAAATCTACTATTAAGATATCATTGTTTTTAAAATGATCCAATGAATAGATTTTCTCATGCGCTTGAGAAAGATCCCCTGTATATGAAGACATCATTGCCACTAAAGTGATCTAACGCATGAGAAAGATCTCATTTTTAATGCGTATATAGGAGGATCTATCAGTAATCTAAAGATTCTGTTATGCACGCAATGACCAAAAATTAACAACTAAAGACTAACATGAGTTTATCGCCTTTCCCTTAATATAAATATGCTAGTTAAGGAAGAATGACAATTGATAAATAATCTCATAAAAATATGAACAGTTCGGAATAAAGCAGCCAACCAAATATATGGATTCTCATCAGTTCGGATAATAACAAGTCTGTCTTTGTAAGGTAATATTCTTATGATTCACAAATCACAATTCAAAGCCAACCTGCAGGTGACTCTTCACTTGGTCGTTAGTAAGCCCATCGACCTGCATGGCCTCCCTAATTTGTTTTGGAGTTGCTTCTGCTCAAAAAGGTAAATGTAATAAACAAACAATATATTGGTATCAAGGCTCAAATAATATTATATTCGGAATATGTTGAAAATATATACCCAAAAACCTAGATCCCACCCAAAATGATTCAAATATTCTCACCTGCAGGACCTCCCAGCATGCTCAAGACCTCCACAAACTTTGTATGGAGCTCTTGCGTCCAGCTTAATCTGCTGTGTTTCCATATAGGCGGAGGTACCTCTGGCTGTGGCTGTGGATCTGGTTCTGGCTTTAGCTCCAGCTCTGAACCGTTTGCCTCCATGTTGAGGTCACATGGGAAACGTCTCCTGGGACTTGGCACCATGAGGATCGGCTCCTTTCCCTTCACCTTCAACAAGATCACCAAAATGTGTCAAATCAAATAATTATTTATCAAGACACAAGAGGGAAAAATATTTTTTTAAAAATAAGGGAAAACTGAATTTTTTGCATGTCTATGCCACCTACCTTATGGTCATGACTTGTATGATCTTGGTTGCGAGGCCTAGGGTAAAACGGAGGTGATGAGCTCTTATATTTTCGGAACGCACTCCGCCGTTCCACTGGATCCTCACATGAGCCTCTATTCTTACATGCATCGAACTGATCTTGGCCACTCAACTTCTCAATTTCGTTACTGAGTGTTTGTATAGCTATATGATCCACAACCAAGAAAAAACATCAGTCAAAAATAAAAAATAATATAAACCCATTAGAGGTAAATCAACATAACAATTTTCTTAGAGAGAAAAAGGAAAAATAAATAAATGGGTGTAGCTATAGCTCACCATCCAACAACAGAAGAACACATTGAGGTAGGTCTCTTTTAAATTCCTCTACTCTGTGGAGCTCTTCTTGGTGTTTTAGAAGATACTCATTCAAAACAGACAATTTGTGTGGAACATTATCTATACTTGCCAGATCACTGAATAAGTGATTGAGTGATTTTGGGACATAAGAGGGCTTTAGACTCAGTGCAAGATCAAGAGAATTTAGCTCAAGGGGATTTGAAGTTGAACCCATTTTTGTCTCTCTAAAGGCTCACTCTCTAAGCTTAGCTTTGTATCTTTCTCTCAGATCTTGGTTGTTTGGTGGAGATACAAGAGGACAGTGAGGGGTTGGTATATAAAGAGAGAGTGAGATAGGGAGGAGAGAAAAGTGAAGAGCAGAATCCACAGAATTCTAACAAAAAAAAAAGAGTGTAAATAGAAATCCCAACAAGACAACTTAGATTACATAATGACAGATTCTCTCATACACTCCCTCAGATTTTTGACAACCAAGCTCCAATTAACTTTTATGCATTATTAAAGAAAAAAATTAAATAAAAATAAATTAAAGGAATATAACCTGAGTCTAGGCGCCGCATATTATCTGTCCATATATATTTCTTTTTTTCTTTCCTTTTTGGCAAAATTTCCAAAACCAGAAATGAAATACAGTGTGAGGGGTGAGGCCATTCTTATCTGCAAATACCGGCCTTAATGCTTTCAGTGTCTCTTTGTTGGATGCTAGAATCTGTCATAATTTTGACAGTTTATATTCTCATCATGCATGGCTGACCTTTCTCTCTTTTGTTGATGTCAGCCAGAAAATTCATAAATTCCAACCAATTCCTCAACTCTATATTCTGCATGTGTCTTCTAAGTCGTTGCAAATACAGACAAACATGAACAGTCTGAAAATTATGTACTGTATATTGAGAGTTTTGATAAAATAAAATAAAAATTATTACCATGAAGTAATTTGGTAAAAATTCTAATTTGGAAAATGGTTGCCAATTTACCATATATCTACACATTTCTTCCAAAAGAATATTTATGTCCATATATATATATTGATATATAAATTTAGAAAAAATTTGACAGGAGATTTTTCCTAAATTATATATTGGATCCCATATCATTTTCCAAGAAATAGCTAAATAATATCTAATATCTGGCAATTAACGAATACATATATACTAGCATCTTCGCACGCGCTTCCATGTCTGCGAGAGGCTTTTTTTTAAAGAAAATTTAAATTCATTTTAGAATTAAAAAAGATAATGGGTAGTTATTTTCCATAAAAATAAGATCTATTATTTGATTTTTCTTTTAATTTTAATTTTTTCAATATGAAAAAGTGTGAATTTATCATATTATTCTTATTTAATTAATAATTTCAATTCTTAATGTTTGCATTAACTAATGACATTTTCTGGTATTTTAAATGTTTTACTCTTCTCTGCCTTTTGCTCTATATATAGATACCACTATATAACATTTGAAGAAATTGGTGTTTTGCAATTTCTGTTTTGTCATTACTGAAAATAGGGTTGAGGAAATTGGGTTGGGTAGTCTTCTCATTCATGAATCATGAGTCATGAATGCATGAAGGGAAACGCTTCTCTTCTTTTTCTTGTTTTTGTTCTTTCTTAAAATTTCACAGGCATATTTAGCCACGTTGAGTATCTCTTCAAGGTCTATCTAGAGCCACCTGTGTCCATGGCAATTACCATAATATATACCCATTAATGCATTTTTGCATGGAGATAATAGAGGGCATATATGTCATTTTTATTTAACTTTTTGAACGGCCATACTCGTGTTTAATAAAAATAGTATAGTTGTGCGGCTTTACTATTTTGAGACGTGCCACCTAAGTGTTGGGCGGTTCGTTTATATGTGTATATATATATACCTGTGCGGCTATACTAGATCTTTTTAACTTTTTGAAAGAGAGTACAACCAAGCGGCGATACTCATTTTACTAATATTTTAAAAAATAGTATAGTCGTGCGGTGTTACTGTTTTAAAACTTTATATATATAGTATAGCCGGTCGGCTATATCCGGTTTTAAATATTTTTAGAAAAAAAAAATAGACCTCTGCCAATGAACGTTTGTCGGGAGAGGTGTTTTTAAATTAGTTTCTTTACTCTCTTTTTTTTTTTGCCATTATTATTTCTTTAGTGAATATTTAAATATGTTACTAATTTTACAAATAAATGAATAAATAGTAAGTACTTGAAGTTCAATGGATGTCAGAAAAATAAATTACTTATTTTTGTTTTGGTGTCTTAATTAAATTTCTCCATAGCCCAAGAGCGACTAGAGTCGATTGTTTTTTGTTTGTTTTTTTTTTTTTTGAAGAAGAAATAGTATAGATGTACGGCTATACTCTTTATATATATAGTGGGATCTTTTTTTTTTCTTTCTGATTTTTATTTAGGGAGTTTCACTAAAACACCCAAAATGGAGGTTGAAATTATAAAAAAACCCAACACCCAAAACACTTTATAAACACACCCAAAACCAATCATTACACACACTCAAAACTCATTTATAAACACACTCAAAAAGTTGACTTTGGGGTTGATTTTGGGTGTGTTTCTATGTTTAAATAGTGCTTGGGTTTTTTTATAAATACATGTCTAAAATTGGGTTTATTTATAAATTTGTATTTTATTTATTGATAAAAGTTGTTTAGAGCATCATCCATTGCTATTAGGCCATTACTCGAGTCTCTATTGTCATCTTTTGATTTTTTTTTACTTTTCCAAAGTTACTACCCGTATAAAGATTTTAACACTTGGAAGTTTAATAATGTATTATACACGTACGTTCGTATTTTTCAATAATACATTCGTGTCGTGTTCTGCAAACATCTTAAAGACTCGGCAAATGTATAATACTTGTATTATGCAGGTACATACGTATTTTTTATGTTTAATACACCTATTTTTTAAGCAAATTTCAATAAGACACACAAAATTCACGTATTATACACATAATTCTCACATATTATTGAATAAAAATAATATATTTTAAAAATTAGTTTAGCTGCTTGGCTTTACTCTTTCGACACGTGACCTTAGGCCATCTCCAACCCATGAAGGGCTAAACCCAAATTTCCCCCCTCCAAAAGTAACTATTTGGGTTTTGCTCGGACTCAAATCGTTTTTTCTCCTAACCCTCCGGATTCAAATTTTAAGTCCACAACTTTATTAAATTGTTTAAGAATGATTTAAGTCTAACCTTTTTTTTTTTTTTTTGTGGAAAACTTTTCTTCATTAATCTTTTTAAATAACGTCATAATTTAATTTTTGAACCATTTGACCTAAAAAAAATTGAAATTCCATAAATTTAATTTTATTCCAAAAGTATGAGAATGAAGAAGATGATGTGCTTGAAATGATATCAAAAGTATGAGAATGGAAGAGATTGGTGAAATTGACAAAGGAAAAATAAATTGAGAAATAGAAAAAATGTTTTTGGTAGATTAATTGAGAAATGAGTGAGTATTTATAGAGTTCGGAATGAGATTTGGGATTGGATCTAATTTAGATTAATTTAAAATATTATTTTGATCGTTAGATTTAAATTTCAGCCATTGGATCTTTTTTTTTTACCGTTAAAATAACATAGATTTAATCTCCATCGTTGATTTAAGTTATATGTACATACAAAAAAAAAAAAAAACAACAACAACATTTGAAACCGTTGGATTCCAATGGCAACTCCAAGGGATAGCGACAAGTGGAGCAAAGAGAAGACAAAAAGCAAGTTGCAAATTTGGAGGTGGGCCCAACATCAGAATCTTTGCACATGAGGCTGTGTAGTGGGTTTCATTGAATAGTGTTGGGTCCAGGCAATACTTAGACCCATATTTGGGTCCAAATTTGGGTTTTCCCAAATTTTGGGTCTTTCATTTTCTTGGGTTTGGAGAGGTTTTGGGCAATATTTTGGGTTTAGATTCTTGGGTTGGAGATGGCCTTAGCGCTGGGCAAGTCCTTTTTCGTATATATAGTATAGCCGTGCGGATATACTAGATAATTTTTTTAAAAGAAACAGTATAGCCGGTCAGCTATACTTGTTTTTGCCAGTTTTAGTATAGCCGCACGGCTTTACTATTTTGACACCTAGCTTTGTTGTATAGCCGAACGGCTATATCCGGTTTTTAAACACCCCTAGAGCCCGGGCTGGTTATAGATAGTATAGCCGAGCGGCTATATCCGGTTAAATTTTTTTTTAGAAAAAAAGAGGTATACCGCATGCAGTTGTTAAAAACACAAGAAGAAAAAAAGCCCCAATTTGAGCATTTTGGGCTAAACACCCCTACTCGTCCATTGATCTCTTGCAAAGGCTGCGCTCCTCTCTGATACCAAAACGCTGCGTTGAGGTGGAAGCTAGGGCTCCAGTCGTGGGCCGATTCTCAAATTTAAGCAGTTTATTCGATTGCCTATGCCACCGCTTCTCCCTCACGATCTCTATTGGGTACTTGGCTTCATTTCTTTTCTTTTTCTACGTGAAATTAGTGACCTTCTCTTTTCCACTTGAATTTTCGTTTTTTATTGAAGTTTTTGAAAAATTATATAAAGTTCATAGTTTTAAGGGATTTGACTAATTTTTGGTTGGTGAGCTCCATGTTCTTGCGTTTAGTTACAATACTAGGAGTTGGATATCATTTTACTGCCGGTTTACTAATCTCTAAATGTGCATTCTAGAATTGGCAAGTAATTTCAGATGTGATTTTTTTTTTCTTAATCAAACAAGAAAGACAGATACACAGCCTTTTTTTATTATTTTTTATTTTTTATATATAGATTGTTTGTGAATTGAATAGATAATATTTCACTCTGCTTCATATTTGAATATTTTGTACTCAAAGTTTTTTAGGATTTTTATTGAACTTAGAAACCTCCTTAACCCTCAAAACACCTTAACTTTTCTGAAAATTAACTTTTTAGCAACCACTCAATTTGAGGGCTCTCTCCGTGGCTCTATTATTGTACGCTCTATTGTCTTATGCTTAGAAGCCTGAAACTTTCATGTTTAATCGATTCAAATCAGTAGCAACATTAACACTAAGTGTGTCTTGTGTGAAGGAGAGAGGGAGTGAATTTTTTTACTTTTTCTCTATGCCCTGTCCCTGATCTTTGTGGATTTGTGGATGAGTCATTTTTTGTTGTGTTGGTTTCTGATTTGTCCACAAATCCTTTTTTATAATTTGTAATTTTTATGTATTCACTCTTCTGCATTGCTACCTGTTTGTGCATGCTTGGGGTGGGGGTGAGTAGTTGCTCTATTTTTGTTTTGTTTTGCAGAGTAATACGGTGTAGCTTTTGGAGATAGTGTTGGTTGATGAAATGGATAAGGCACCTGACACACTGCAACCTTGCTCTGTTGATAGTCTGGTGGACTTGTTACCATCTATTACCAGTAGTTCTTGTGGTAATGAGTTTGATAACCACACTAAATGTGGTCCACAAGGTAATTGTTTTGGTTGTAAGATTTGATTTCTTCTATGTTGTTGCCTCATGGCCTACTGCTACTGATGATGTACTTTTTATGTGTATGAGAAGGTGTCAATTGCTCAGGGTCAGGGATACCGCTAGATCATCTGGTTATGCCTTTAGCTTATGAGTGCATACAATCTGATAGGCAAACCAGTGGGTTTGGCGAGCCTACTATCCATCAGGATTTGAACAAATAAATTTTTCTATCTCAGGCTGGGCAGTTGCTCATGTGGGGTTTAGTAGATGTTTGATCTTGTTCTGTAAGAAACTCATTGTGATCCCAGATATGTTTGATGAGAAGATGGTTGGGACAAACTTCTGTAAGGGACTGTCCTTCAGTTTGAGGATTTATAAAGCTACTTCGAAGTCTCTCAAAGGAAATCTATATATTGAATATGAAGCCTCATTGGTGCAAGCAGTTGGTTCTTTTGCTGATGTAGTGCCTGGGTTGTTTAGACCTGTATTTGAGTTTGTAAATAGCAATGTGGCAATCGAGGGTAGTTTTGGGACCCCCATTCTGTTGCTACTGGAAGACTTTCTTGAACTCATTTGGAGTACTTTCTGCAACAACAGTGTTTTGCGTGGTAGCTTCCATACTAGACAATTTAGACTCTTCTTTATGGAGATAAAACAATGTTGCTAACCTGAAGCCCCCACTAGCTTATTTTCTATGATTGGTTGTTTCCATATTGATGCTCATTCACGACCTTAAGAGACAGATTAGTCGGGCTGTCATTTGGAAGGAGTTAGACACAGAACTTGATGGCAGTAGCGTCAATATTCTTGATTCCCCTAGATGCCTTGTTCATTCTGAGAAATTCCTTTACTTCACAGGCACACATTTGAACATCAAGTGCAAATGATATTCCCTTCCTCAAAGCAATGGATGGATGGATGATCTGATGCATCTTATCTTTTTCCTTGAGTGAAACTGAGGCCAAAGGTGGAAAGGTCATATTCTAGTTGTGCAAAAACTACTTGCAGCTCTGAATTAGAAATATTGTGTGCCATGAAGACGAAGCCTTTTTTGGAGACCTTTTCTATGAAGGTGGTTGTGGAACTACAGATGGATACGATCAGCCAGCAGTTGTTGCTAACTCTAACTCTAGCTCCATCTGGTTTTCATATTGAGATTATTCTCATGTCATTTCACTTATCGTCTGAAGAGGAAAAAGCATTACATGCAAAGTTAATATTTTCTGCTCAAAGAACAATTGGTGGTCCAACTTCGGTTTCCAACAGTACACATTGTCTTGCTGGGTTTTACTGGTTTGAAGTTTGATTTTAGTGCGTTGCCATATGAAATTTTACCCACGGACTTGTCCTTCATCTTTGCTTGTGCACCTACGATCCAAGTTGAGGGACACTCCATACTCCACTTCACAGCTCAGGGTGAACGATCATTTGTCATCTTGAGTCTCAATTGTATTTCAAAATGTAATGACTGCATTGTTTGAAGAAGAGCCTGACATCAGTCCTTGATTCATCAACTGATTGATATATCTGCCCTCCCTGCTTCGCTGTCCACAAACAGTTGTAATATTGACAGATTCTGCTTGAGTTGGGATGACATCTGTTCAACCATGTCATTGTCATCAATTCTGGGGTTCTGGAAATCTAATCAGGATGTAGTTGTTGAGGATCTTGTTATTGAAAGATACATTTTCGTACTTTGTTGGGACTTTCCAACTATTGGCACTGCAAAAGACCATCAGCTTCCTTTAGGGAGCTATCCGCAGACTCTTGGCACTTCTGGAATAGCAAATATCTTTTACTTCAGCCATTCAATTCGAGGTCATCGTGGTGTTGATGTGAAAAATAATTTTCTTGAAGTCATTGTTCGTCCACTTCATGTATCCAATTGTAGTTATTTGGACGAGACTTCAAATAGAAATGCCATGTAATATGTGTATAAACAATAAAAGAGATTAAAAAGGAAGGATTTTTGTTTTTTTGCATAAAAAATTTCGTTGATCACAGGGAGGGAAGGCGAATTTTAATACGTTTTAGCGGCGGTTTTCCGAGTCGTAGATAAAAGCCCCTATAGCTGCAGTTAGCGACGGCTTTTTCCGCAGCTAAAGTCGTTTTTGCATTTTTGAACACAGTAAATCGTCACGAAAAGTACAAAAACCGGAGCTAAATTATAAAAACCGCCGTTGAAATTTGAAAACCCGCCACAAAAAACAAGACATGATAAACTGTTTTCCCTTCCTTTCTTTTATTTTTGGCTTAATTATGTACATGCCCCCTGTGCTTTCCAACTTATCTCAGATTACCACCTGTGGTGGAAAACGTCTCAAAGTACCCCCCAACGTGCAAAAAACTGTCTCACGTTACCCTTTCCGTCAGTTTTTTTGAAGTTCCGTTACGAACGTTACTGTTCATCTCCCCCAAAATTCCAGAACAGCAGCTCCTCCCATTTGTTACTGTTCATCGCACCAGTTTTTGGGCTGCCATCGCCTCCTCCGGCCACCCCAAGCGACGACATGGATATCAAAAGAACCAGCACGTTGTCCTCTACCACCCTCACATCTCAGCCGCTGCCAACCGTCGTCTGGATCACCGAAAAAAGCAAGAAATTGGCCGGTTTTTACCCAAAATCTCCATTGCTCGTTCGGGCGATTCCGAGCACCATTTTCTTCGATCCAGGTATGATTTTTCAACCTCTCGAATTGTTCTTGCTGCTAGTTGTGTTAGTTAGGAGAAATTTCTTAGTTTTGGAGGGTAAATAAGCGATGAATAGTAACAAAGGGGAGGGGCTACTGTTCTGGAATTTTGGGGGAGATGAATAGTAACATTCGTAACGGAACTTCAAAAAAACTGACGGAAAGGGTAACGTGAGACAGTTTTTTGCACGTTGGGGGGTACTTTGAGACGTTTTCCACCACATGTGGTAATCTGAGATAAGTTGGAAAGCACAGGGGACATGTACATAATTAAGCCTTTATTTTTTGGGGGTACAGCAGCAAAGTCAGTCTGGGAGGAGTTGTGTAAGGTTTGTACTAATCACTCTTAATTATCGTCATCAATATTAAACCGGTAATTTTCTACAAAAGAGATCATTTTCATTTGTTTAAAAGTGTTTGATCTTTGGGTCTTGCTTCTTATCTTCTAAGCTCTAGCTTTTCATTTCTTTTCCATGTGCAGTGCAGGTATGAAAGTCACACATGAATAACGATTCTATGTTGTTTTCCATATATGAATTTTATAAACTCCATATTTGAAACATTAGGTGAAAGCTTTAAGCATGCCTACTTGCAAAAGTTAGTTGAGATTCATGCTAAATTAAGATACTTCGTCCTGTCTTATTCTTCTTCTTCTTCCTTTTTTTCACTGATGAACGATGGTGAGTAAAATATTTATGTGCATGACAAGCTATTTGCCACACCGATTTTGTCTTCACCATGTTCCGAAATATAAAGTTCGAACTCCTCTTCCCATATATTTTGTGTCCAATTATAAATAATCTTTTTATATGTATTGACATGTCGAAACTCATTATTCAATCAATATCAAATTTCATTTTGCATAATTAGAATATATCTCCATGGAACAAAGTTGTAAGAATCTCAAATTGACCAAACCATTTACACGAATATAGATCCCCAATGGAGCCTGGGTTTCTTGACCTAGGCCAAATCCTCCCATTAGCAACCCAATATTACCATTTTAGGCTTAAACCAGCCATGGTCTGGGCTAAACACCCCACTAGACATGCTCTTATAATTACTAATTGTGCTGCACATTTACAATGAGGAAGAAGCCTAATTTCTGTTGTGTATTATAAGGCCTATTGTTGAGCTTATTTACACCCGATTCGCTCAAGGTGGTAGTAGCTGTCATGAGTGTTCGAATGTTATCCATTTACTTTATTTTAATTTTATGGTCTTTGTCAAAAGTTTATTTTGTCTCCTTCTTCTTTCTTGGATGATAAGACATGCATCTTCCTTGAGATTTCTTTTTGTCAATCCATACTAGATTAAAAGAAAATAATTTTTTTTTTCTTCTTCTTACATAATGATTTGAACATAATATGTTTATTCTCATCCATTTATTCATCTCAGCCACGTGGCGGAGCCACTCCTAGACTTGGAGTGGCCCTGGCCCCCATATTTTTATCATTCCTCTATTATATTATATATAATATATAGAATTTGTAATAAACAAATTAGAATTTAAGTTAAAATTTCATCTAAAACAAATTATGCATGACTCAATTAGAAATATTTAACTCTAAATATGTAAGTATTGAATAATTAGGTATTTTCTAAACTTCTATTTTCTACTTCGCCCCTCTTCTAACTTTACAATTCTAGCTCTGCCCGGACTTCAACTAAAACTAATGGTTAATTTCCTCATTTATTTCATACTCCAATCATGTGTTACAAACAAATTCAGTTAGTAATTTTACTCGTTTACTGTTGATAGTCGGCATTACTTTTCTTTATCGAGAAGATAAGATAAGTATCACTACATCAGTAACGAATTGGTATTATTGCACTTTCTCTATCTAAACGACAAACATTTGTATTACATTGCATATCAATTATATAAAAAAATATTCCCAAGAATCGCATTTGCTTGGGAAAAAAGCAAACTCTTTTCTATAATAAGTAAACAGTAAAAGTAAAAGCTCTCCTTAAACCCATCAATCACCACAAATTTGCGTTTTACTAATTTGTTGCTTTATTCCTCTCGACCGCCTTAAAACATTTTTATTCCATAGACCCATTTCATTTTTTGCAACCTCACTACCGACCCAAACACTCTTCTTCTTCTTCTTCTTCTCTCTTTCTCGCCTTTTCTCCGATGCACTAATTCTCACTTGTCTTTCACCCGATCGTCTCGTTTCTCATGGCCGAGGCCTTCGCCAAACTCGCCGAGTCTCTCTACTCGGAAAACAAGCCCATCTCCTCCGCTGATCTCTTGCAGAGGCTGCGCTCCTCCCCCGACTCCATCAGACCTGGCCTCGAGAACCTTTTTCTGATTCTTAAACGCGGCGTTGAAGCCGCCGGAGACGGGAAGCTAGGGTTCCAATCATGGGCCGATTCTCAAATTCAAGCAGTTTATTCGATTGCCTATGCCATCGCTTCCGCCTCTCGGTCTCTATTGGGTACTTGGCTTCATTTCATTTTCTTCTACGTGAAATTAGTGGCCTACTCTTTCCGCTTGAGTTTCTGTTCCTATCTTTTGAATATAGAAGTAGAGTATATCAAATTACAAGTACTTGATTGTGGGTTGTTGCTAGTTTTCTCTGTATGCCTGTAGCTTCTAGCTTTTTTTGCTTTTACATCTAAGTGGTTGTACTTTTTGCTAGTCGTAATAAATGTACTTAATTTCTTTGTAGTGGGGCAAGCGGAAGCAATAATTGTTGCCATTGTGCAACTGTCGTTGGAATTTGCTGTATGTTATTTGGAGAGATCAGAATTTAACAGCGAAGATATGAGCATTCAGGTTAGTAGTTCTTCTTTCCATATGATATGACTAGTTTAGTTTGATGTTACTTCTGCTTAGCCGCATTAACAGCAAACATCAATTTGCTCTGTTGTCTTGTGTCTTGTGTGAAGGAGGGAGAAAGGGAGATAATTTTTATTCTCTCTGCCCCCTGTACCCAGATTTTTTTGGATTTATGGATGAGGTCCTCTTTTGTTGGGTTGGTTTCTGATTGTTCCAAAAATCCTTTTTTATTTTTTATGATTTTTTTTATATAAATATAAATATTTTTAATTTTTATGTATTTAGTGTTCTGCATTGCTACCTGTTTACACATGTTTGGGGAGGTGAGTAGTGGCTCTATCTTGTTTTGATAGTCCAATTCTTGTTGGTTTTGCAGAGTATTATGGTGCAGCTTTTGGAGATAGCGTTGGTTGATGAAATGGATAAAGCACCTGACACACTGCAACCTTGCTCTGTTGATAGTCTGGTGGACTTGTTACCATCTGCTACCAGTAGTTCTTGTGGTAATGAGTTTGATAACCACATTAAATGTGGCCCTCAAGGTGATTATTTTGGTTGTAAGACTTGATTTCTTCTAGTGTTGTTGCCTCATGTCTTACTGGTACTGATGTTATACTTTTTATGTGTATGAGAAGGTGTCAATTGCTCAAGGTCAGAGAAACCGGTGGATCGTCTGTTTATGTCTTTAGCTTCTGAGTGCATACAATCTGATAGGCAGACCAGTGGGTTTGGTGGGCCTACTGTCCACCAGGATTTGAACAAATTGGTTTTTCTATCGCAACATTGGGCAGTTTCTCACGTGGGGTGTATTCAACGTTTGATCTTACTCTGTAAGGAACTCATTGTGCTTCCAGATATGTTTGATGAGAAGATGGCTGGGACAAACTTCTGTAAGAGGCTGTCTTTCAGTTTGAGGATTATAAAGCTACTTGGAAGTCTCACGAAGGACATCCCATATATTGAATATGATGCCTCATTGGTGCAAGCAGTTGGTACTTTTGCTGATGCACTGCCTGTGTTGTTTAGATCTGGATTTGAGTTTGTAAATAGCAATGTTGCAGCCGATGGTAGTTTTGAGAGCCTCACTTTGTTGCTACTGGAAGACTTCCTTGAACTCGTCCGGGTTACTTTCTGCAACAGCAGTGTTTTCTTGAATGTCCAAGTCTGTGTGGTAGCTTCCATACTAGATAATTTAGACTCTTCTGTATGGAGATATAACAAGTCTGCTGCTAACCTGAAGCCCCCACTAGCTTATTCTCCACGAATTGTTGTTTACATATTGATGCTCATTCACGACCTTAAGAGACAGACTAGTCGGGCTGTCAATTGGAAGGAGTTAGACACAGAACTTGTTGGCAGTAGCGTCAATTTTCTTGATTCCCCTTCATGCATTGTTCATTCTGAGAAAGTTCCTTTACTTCACAGGTTCACATTTGAACATCTAGTACAGATGATATTCCCTTCCTCAAAACAATGGATGGA